ATGTCAGGGACATGGGTTTTGGGTGTGCAAGATGTGATGAGTGAGAGTAAAGCCAGCTAGATTTCATTTACGTAGTCGCAGTTGTTTAGCATGTGTTCTCGTCGCCAAGCGCTTGGCAATACCCTCCAACCCTGAACATTTGCAGGCTTTAGGGTATTATAGATTTAGTTGCGCCCTGGTGCTTGGACAAACTTGCCGCTGGCAGCCCTGCTAGAGACTGTACCTCAACCTTAAAGTCTTCCGAATACCTCCGTGCCTGAATGCGATCACCGACATTCTTGGTGTTAAATCCAAAACTCCCAAACTACTCTGACTCCCAAGCCCGGAACCCCCAGCCCCGAGGTACCTCCCATACAGCGATGATCCTCGTCAACTTCGCGGGCTGGCGGTGGACATGAAAAGCAGGCATTGGAAAGAAGAAGAAGAAGAAGACGAGCTTGCACGTTCCGCATCTGTTCTATTGCTGATCTTCCTGTTGCCATGAATGATGTGTTCAAGTTATCCCGACGACGACAATCATTCGATGGCAGAGGTCGTCTCATTACTCAGGCAAAATACCAGTGTCTCACGGCCCTGCCATGTACCCGGATTCAGCCCTTGCCGTAGAGTTTGCGTAGCCAGGTCCGCAGAGTCTGGATCTGCAACACTATATCAGATCTTATGTCAGGCACGATTGAGTCCACGGTGAAGTGGAACCACGAAGACCATCGTGCACAGACCTGTCTGTTCCGGTTTAGTAGACATATACTAACGCATAGTACATAAATTCGTTTGGAGGCCTCGAGGCGAGTCCGGATGTGTTTGGAATGCCGGCAATTCTTCTGCAAGGCACCGAAGCTGAAACAAGAAGCAGAAAAGAGAAGCATCAGCCACAGCGGGAGATCAAATGACGTGGTCACGACCCCTGCCGAAAATCCCGCCAATTGAAAGTCCTGCACATGTATCCATTCCCGGTCTTTTCCAAAGCCAGCAGGTATCTGGACCAGCTGCCGGATCTGCCGAATGCCACGGCCTTTGTGGTGTTGTTTCTTCATTTATCGGATGGGTTCCAGCAGGTTTTACACATACTTCAGGGAGTTTAGTGCATAAAATATAGGACGCAAATGTAGTCGAGGCCGAGATTCTCTGGGGAGCCTGCTTGTAGGGTTGATGACCTTGGATAGTTAGGGTCCTAGAATCTTGAATTCCTAACGGTCGCGGACGCCGATTGTTCTGGACGCCAGGAGATGACCAAGCCTTGTTTCTTTCTATTTCTTTTATCTTTCAAGGCCTCGACTGTTCTCAACTTGTTCAGCGATTGAAATCAGGGCTTGTTCCAAAGGATCCTGGAAGGGGTTGCGACCCCCCCCCCCCCCATATTGCCCGAAGGGGCTGGGATGGAGCTGACGCCCGGGAGGGGCTGTTTGTATGCTGAGTTTCAACTTCCACAAATGAAACTTGATGGACCCTTTCAGCGACCCTACACGGCAGTATCATCCCCATACAACCTCTTCAGAACAATTAATAGCCCGTCGTCCTGGAACCGCCCCCACCCCCAGCTTGCGGGCCATCAGAAAGTCAGGTGCAGAAGGTACGAGCAGCTCTCACAGAGCATGAAGAAGTTCTGCAAATGCCGGGCCCTTAGGACTATAGGGACCATAATAGGGGTTGCAACGGTTGAGGTTTCTGGGTGTCCAACGCTTCCGAAACATACTTCGAAGTAAGAAAGAGTGTGCGTGTCAGTGTGCTAAGACTAAGAAGCCTGCCAGCTGTTCGGAAATTACCCCGTCGTCAGTGAATAAGAGAAGGGCGGTCGCATACGAGACGTCTTCAGCATACTAACATGAAGCATCGAGGAGCAAACCTGAAGCTTGCACAGGATTTTGCCAGTTTTTTGGGCACCTTTGGCCTGGAAAGCGCGCAGTATTTTTCTGAAGAGTCTTCGAGCCTTCGGGCTTCTGCTACCTCAGGTACCACGTGCGTGTCAAGGACATCGAGCACTGGGAACGCGTTTTTGCGACACAAGGCGCTCCGGCACCTAACCTTTGGCCAATGCAAGATGCGGGCCACAACTCTCGAAACTCGAGTGTACTTTCTCCCCATAGGGCCCAAAGGATAAGCTTTCAGCAGGTAAAGATATTCGCAAGGATTGTGTTATGTACATACATGTGTACATATAGGTATATATGTATACAACAGTGTGCATATACATATATAATCATATATATATATATATATATTTGTTTATGTATTTATTTGTTTGTGCAAACTAGTGGCTGACTTGTCTGTCCTTGCAATTGCTGGGGTGTGGGGGAGATGACTTGATTGGCTCTAGGCAGGAAAACTGCTGTGCCCCTGCGGGCAGTTATGCTAAGTACATGAGGTCTGATCGTAAAAGGCCGAATAGTTCCTAACGTGCGTTGTTCCTGAGGCAGGCAGACCGGGATGTAACGCAGCTTTTCCAGACACATCCAAAGATTCTCATCGCGTCCCCGAGCTTCGAATGTTCCCAACATATTCAAGAGTGCTGCACTTGAGAAGCGCCTGTGAACAGCATGCTTCTGCTCGTCTCTTCCTATGTCTGGCTCCAGCCGTGCTGTGGCACAATGTCGGGGCATGTGATGAGGGCCTCACGGTGCAAGCACACGGCTAGACCAAATTCATTTATGCACTCTACTGGTGCAGTTCCAGAGCTGGGGTTTCCATGTCACGATGTGTTCCTTCAGGTCATCGGCATCTGACGTAGTTCGGGCTCCCTCAGCTCACGCTCGCACTCGCGCCTTGATGTCCACTGCATCAGAAAGCCCCATCAGCCAAGAGCAAGCGCTGCAGACTAAAGACCAGGAGATTCCGATTCACTCCAACACGCACTAGATCGAGCGTGCGTAATTACATTCCCTGTATGTGTCTATCTACAATACATATCATGTGCCTTTCGTTGTGTAATTCGTAGTTCAACATGGAAAGGCTATCCATGAAGAGATCCAGCTGTGCGAATGCGTGTATGTGCGTGTGCACTGTGTGCATATGCATATATATATATATATACACATACACACGTACATACATACATACATACATATATACATGTGCAAACATACTTATCATGCATATTCATACACTTGCTTCTTGTTTTTCTCATCTTGGCTGCTGCTAACGTCAGCATTCAGCATGACGCTTGACATGTACTTCGGGAAACCTGTGCGATTGCATTCTTCCGGCGATATTGGGGCTGGTGGTGTAATTCACTGCATGTATTTGTATGTGTGCAGCAACACTGTGCGTGTGAGGGGCTTTGTGCACCCTCTCTCTCTCTCTCTTTGTCTCTGCCTCTCTCTGTGTCTTTCCCCTATCATTTTTGCCAGTGGGGATCCTCGTCAACATGATGCCAATATTCACAGATATACCGTGAGATGTGGATGCGGGCGACGAATTCGTTATATCTGCGTTGGACAGAGACTGCTGAGGATGTTGGTTGCTAGGGTGTATGGGGCTCAAAGGTTTCGTGGCCTTTGAAGGACTCGCTGATCGACAACAGCCCGGGCCATTCAGGCCAGTCAGAGGCTGAGGGGCCTGCGACCGACGTGGCGCCGGGGGCCCAGCATTGAACTTCGTATTATTCGCCGACACCAGTTTGCATGGCAATGCTCCCAAACTGTGCTTATAAAAAGGCTTTCGTGGTCGCCTTTTGTCGTTTGCTTCGGCCGCGAAGTTGTACGTCAGGGCTTGGCCGGTGCTGTTAAGAGGCATCTGTTCGGTTTCCTGAAGTTGCAGCTGCTAGCAGCTAGCAGCTGTTCTTGGGCTGAGATCCTTTGTGTGGCCTGCAAGTGGATCATTCAAGTATATTATATTTTTTATGTTTAGCTTTCTGAGCTGCGCAGCAGTGATTGTGCACAAATAGACTGATATTGGTAGTAGAAGTAGCAGCAGCGGTAGCAGCAGCAGTAGCGGCAGCGGTAGCTTTAGCGGGTAGCGACGAGCGGGTAGCCGGCAGCGGGCGCGTAGCGGGTAGCAGTAGCAGCAGCAGCAGCAGTAGCAGTAGTAGTCATCGTAGTAGTAGTAGTAGTAGTAGTCGTCGTCGTCGTCGTCGTAGTCGTAGTCATATAGTCGTAGTCGTCGTAGTCGTGGTCGTCGTCCTCGCCGTAGTCGTAGCAGTCGTAGCGTAGCAGTAGCAGCAGCACTAGCAGCAGCAGTTGTTGTTGTAGTTGTATGTCGCAGAATGTCGTTTTCTTGTGATGATTACAAGTTCTGGTACTAATGGAAGTAGAGGCTGTGAAAAGCATAGCATAGCATAGGCTACGTGGCTAGGCGGCGAAGCAACAAATAGCAGCACAGAATGAGGGTGACACGTGGTGTCGTGGTGTAGGATCTAATTGTATACTGCAGCTTCATCATGTTACAGTTTCACGTAGCATGAGGCTTCGTCGGAACTTTGGGCTTGAAGTTCGATGTGTCGCTTCGTCGCAACACCAAAGAACACCCGAGGCCCGTAAGACATCGGCACAGCCTTGCAATGTTGAAGGCCTTGAAGACAACGGCTCACCGGTGTTGACAAATCTTCTCAGCACAACGCCTGACAGTGCCGCTGCTGCTGCTGCTGCTGCTGCTGCTGCTGCTACTGCTCCTTCCATCTCCACAACCAAAGCGACCAGACCACTACTGCGATGACGCCTACTTCGACTTTTACTGCAGTTCACTGCTACTCTTACGAATGTACTTCCACCATAAAGCAGTACTACTTGAAGGACGAGACCGGCAACAAACATCACGACTCCTGCTGCCAATATCAGGGTTGCATAGAGCTGGTGTCAGCACGGGAAGATCTGGCTGAAGCAAGGCCACCCCCGCCACCTTTCGATTCATGGGGTCGGGCATTCAATGGCGTCATGGCTGGACAGCGGAGGCGCTTGCTCTGGGGTTCATGCTTGAGACTCTGTCGCTGTCTTGCTCAGTGCTTTGGCACTTCAGCCTCGGATTGCTGCGGTGCAAACCATTGGTCGCGGAGTTATCCGATTTCGTCGTGCTTATAGTGTATACGATTCAAGGTAGGCCCGTAGGTTGTTGTGATAGCCTTCCCCTGGATGATTTCGCGAACTTTTCTGTCATCCAGACATCAGGGAGGCTTGTACACATTGCAGGCTATGTGCTCGTGCTGTGTTCATGGAGTTGCTATAGTCGGCTGCCAGTTTGATTTCTGTGCCCGCCATGCTGTAGCATGACAGAGATCGAATTTAATTGCCGGAGCACAAGGGGCCCAGCGCTGAAGCCACGGGCCATGGGGTGTTCAGAAAGGCGCAGCTCTCTAGGCGTTCAGCTCCGTTCCATGCAGGAGAAGAGGTACTGGTGCGCCACTGGAGTGCAGCCGGCTTGCTTTGTCATGGGAGCTACACACCGGGCACACACCTTTGGAATGGCATGGAATGGCACTCAAGTAGTGAAGTAAGTACGTAAGTTAGCATGTGCACATACATATGTATATATTATATATGCAGATAAGTGTGTGTACATACGATACATACAACTTAAAGCTCTGTATATGGCAGGCGTATAAGTCGACAAGCAGATCTACAGTAATAGTAGTCTTACGTGTGCTAGTGCTTAGCCTAGAGTCTCTCCGGCGAACTCCGCCGAAACAAGCCGAGCCAATCAAAGCCAAGCCGAGCAATTGAAAGTACAAACTCTCGACGCTTTTGCCTCCAGCCTCCAGCGGAGACCCCAATGTATCGGAAAACCAGGTCGGACAGGAAATCCCACGCAACATGCCGCCGCCGGGACAGCAAAGAACTGGTAAGGCAATAATACCTCTCACCAGTGTATTTGTTTGTGTATTTATACTCTACATACCTTTATGTGTACATATGTATGTGTACACAAGCTTACATATATGTATATATATATATATGTACACAAGCTTGTGTATGTGTATATATGTACACAAGCTTATGTATGGGTATATATATATATACATGTGCAGATATCTGTCTGCGTGTATCTGTACTTGTGCTGAACCTGGCTGGCAGGACCGTACTCGGAACCATCCGCTGCGCAGTGTTCGGCTGTAACTGCGACGACTGACTTGCCGAAGAGAAAAGTTGGCAGGGCGCAACAGTTCTAGAAGGAACGGCCCAGTGGGAAGACACGCCAGCTTCCATGCCCGGGGTTCGTTCCCTCCACTTGGCGGCTCTAACCCCTTCGAAAATTAGAGTGTGTGCGCTGGAGAGGCTGAGCATGATTGAGCGCGGTTCTGCTTGGTTTGGTAACTTGAAATCTCTGTGTATACTGTGGGTGTAATGTAGTTGTAGTTTATGCATGATTGAAATTTGCGTGATGATGGTATGTGTATGTGGATGGGTCGGCGTATACATGTATACATATACTGATATGAGTGTATATGTATACACATGTCTACACATATATGCACAGATATGTGTACTTTGCATATATACATGTGCATATGTACTTATGTTCGTGTATTACATATCTGTACATATATGTGTATATACACACCTGCACGCTTGTTCATTCATTGCTTGTTCATGTTCACCTATTTGTACGAATACAGCTCCACTTCTACTTGCTGTTCATCTGCCAGCTGATGAAGGCAATTATCGCGGCTTTCAAGCGATTCGTCTCGCACGAGGCGTGCTGATTCGTCGAGTCTGCACGGGGTCTGGGGCGTTGCCGCCGAGGTCCAGGAAACAAGACGGAACAGAGATGCCAGTGTCGCTGTGGTTGTGGCTGCAACCGAGTCTGCTGATGATGCATGCCTCAGCTTCTTCAATCTCTTTGCGTACAACCCAGCTTGGCCCAATCTGAGAGCAGGTTGCAGTGCTCTGAGCCGTCATCGAGTCCTGCGGAATGCCTTGGGCAGCTCGGCTCAACGTAAATGGTTACTGTTCACCTCGTGCCCTGCTCGTCGCGCATGCACGGCTGACACGGGAACATCAGTCTATCAGTTGGTTGCCACTTCTGCCAATCTTGAACGATTGTGACTCTACGCCGTTACACTGCCACTTCACAGGATAGTTGTCTCAGATCGAAAGTGTTGGTTCTAAGAAGGTCTTCAAAGTGCAGCGAGAGAGGGTGCTGCCTTGGAATGTGGCGAGAATCACATGTCACAGCAGCTCACTTCGGTGCAGTGTTCAGGATGTGACAAGAGCTGCAAAGTTGGTTTTGTTACTTAAGTCAGTTTACCGCAAAGTCCGGAACTACGATGGAGTCATGAAGTTGCAGTGCTTCAAGTATGGCCCATTCTAAACTGGCGGGCTTACTGTCTCACGACAGCTCCTTTACTTATGTAGATATGTATGTGTGAGTGTGTATGTCTGTGCATGGAAATAAGCATGTGATTATGTAATATTATGTATTTACGTGTGTGCATGTACCTATGCATGTATGTACGTACGTAGGTATGTATGTACGTATGTGTGCATGTGCGTACGCGCAAACTGAACCCTTCACCTGCTCACTTATCGGTCCGTCCATGCATCCACACGCAGATGTAGACACACCATGTAGAATTTCATACACAGAAAGGTGTATAGCCTCCAAGCTGAAAGATGCAAACCTAACACCTTTCACCTCGCTGGAGCAGGATTGGTTGGCCTCCAACACTTGATACGGGTGAGGCCCCAGCTGGAAGCGACGGAATGCCAGCCTGGGTTAGTTCCATGCAGCCAGTGCAACGACGCATACAAGACAATGATACATGGCAGTGATGTGTGTCCTTATACATATAAAATATACGTATGTATATATATATATATTGATTGGTCAATACGTAGTCGAAAAGTACACACGCAAAGACAGGTATAAGTAAATGTACAAATGCGTGTACGGACACACACATGTATATATGATCCCGGTTCGGCCGGCCCCCCCCCCCCTCCCCCCCCGCAATGGTTCCTCCTCCCCCCCTGTGGTGCGGTGTGGTTGTTGGTTGATGTTGGTTGCTTCCCCCTCCCTGTGGTGTGGTGTGGTTCGGGAGTGGGTCTGCTTAGGCTGGTTACCCCACTCCCCCCTGTGGTGTGGTGTGGTTTGGGTTTCCTGCGTGGGTCTGCTTGGCGTGTGAGCCCTCGTGAGGAAAAGCTTGCGCAGTCACAAACAGATTCGGCTTGGGGAGCGTGGGGGGGGGATACCATTGGGGGGGGAGGGGGGGGGGTCGGTGAACCGAGAACCGGGATCATATATGATCCGGTTCGGCCCGGCCCCCCCCCCTCTCCCCCCCCCAATGGTTCCTCTTCCCCCCCTGTGGTGTGGTGTGGTTGTGGGTTGCTTCCCCCTCTATTGTTGTGTGGTGTGGTTCGGGAGTGGGTCTGCTGAGGCTGGTTACCCCACTCCCCCCTGTGGTGTGGTGTGGTTTGGGTTTCCTGCGTGGGTTTGCTTGGCGTGTGAAAAAGCTTGCGCAGTCACACACACACAGATTCGGCTTGGGGCGCGGGGGGGGGGGGGGATACCATTGGGGGGGGGGGGGAACCGAGAACCGGGATCATATATATATATATATATATGTATATAGTTATATTATGTACATGTATATGTGCGTGTGTGTGTGTGTGTGTGTATGTATGCATGCACATATTCGTGCTTAACTTTGTACATATGTATACGCAGCTTGCTCTGTGCAGAAGTAGGCATCCTGTTTGCCGCGCATCGCTGGCTTGCTGCAGCGGCTCGAGTTTGATTTTCAGTGGTCGTGGTAGCACTTGGCTCTCTGCCAGCTATCATGGAGGCCGGTGGCGGGTGGGTCGGCTGTACCTCTATAGGCGTAAACCTTAAATTTGGAGTCGAGCATTGGCTGAAGGACCCCGAAGAATAGGTGCTACTATGCCTCTTGCAACGCCATCTTATGTTGTAGCATATTTTACTCCAAACCCACCAAGCTGATGATGATCGCTTGTAGATTCTCCTGCCTTTACCCTTTGCATGCATCCTCAAGACAGTTTCCCAATGATGTAGGACCCGCTGAAGCCCGGTCAAACCTCAGATAACCTTTCGTTATCACGCCGTGCAGCCCTGGGCCCGAGACAACCTCTACAATGCACCTAGATGCACCCTCTGCCCTGAACCGATTGAGGGTCTCCTCCACTCGGCTGGCGGTTTCAGTGGTTCCGGATGTCAAGATTCAGGGAGCAGGCTCTTCAAGGTGGGAACTGATGAACCACGAGTGCTCCTCACAGTCTCACAGGGTTCGGAAGTAGTCGGGCTCAATTTTGTCTAGTTGCTTGAGAATTAGGGTTTCACCGTTCCTCCTTCGTCTGAATGGTTAGTGAAGTGTCGCAACTCCGGACATCGCACAATGACAGTACGACTTGGGACACGGCCGTTTAGCAGAGGCCTTTCATGGTCATGCCGTGCCGTCCAGAGACTATCACCCACCCATGCCGTTTCGCAACTAATTAAGTGCCCAAAAAAGTGCGCGTGGGCACCTTCGCTCTCTCCTGTGTTCCTCAGGTCTGAAGGGTGTTGCTAGTTGCGACGTATCACTGACTCCCGTAGTAAGTTGTCCGTCGCACGAGAGCATTCAGACCAGAGCATTCCCGCTCGAAGGACGACGGCACAAGATCTGCTCAAATTGGAATTTCTTCAGCCTACCCATTATCTCAGCAACGTGGGGAAATACTTCCGATGCATTGCAGTGCTGGAAGCCCTGCCATGCTTTTCGATTGACAAACTAAAGGGGACAACAGGTCAAACACTGGCGATGATACACTACCATACACATACATCTATACATATATACATATAGACTGCACTTGTATAGGTATATGTATGTGTATATGTTTATATCTATATATATATATATATATAACAATATGAATATAAGTATAGATAGTATGTATGTAAGGATGTGCGTATGTATGCAAGATGACAACGACATTGGTGCAAGTTTTTCATGAAAACCAAACAGTCCAGCGAGTGGTGGATGCAAACCAAAGTCGACTGCTAAACACTGGACAACATCCAAGAAACTGCAATAATCGGTCGTCGAGATAGATTTAAGAATCGCTTTCGACACGGGTTCACGCATCACTGTAGTTCGGCAGCTTCCTATTTGGAAACAACTGGGTTTGAATGGTTTGACCAGGACTGCAGCCGGCTTCGCGAGTCGACTCTTTGCCTAGTAAGTTGCACCTGCTTCGGGCGAGACACTGCATGCCTTTATTAGAGAGCACTTACACTTACACCTCATAACACACATACACATATAGAGTTCTTTCGCGGGAGGATTGCGCGCGATTTAGTGGGCTTTGAGACTGATGAGCACCTACAGATGTCGACTGTTTGACGGCAGGACGTGGAGACCAGCTATGCGGCCCTGTCCCGCGACTCCCTGAAGGCAGTCTGGGACAGGAAACAAGGAAGGGGATGGCTGGGGGGTGTCACGAAGACTATTGTAAAGATTGCCTGCTGCCTGTACAGGCCGCATCTATGGAGCATGGCTTGCAGACGACGGCTGTCTACTGGGAAGGCGCCCTGCAGTGCTGAAGTCCTGGAAGCCATGAAAAGGGCCGTCTTGACGGCCTGCCCTTCACACGGACGGAACAGGTGCCAACTTGGAATTTAATGCGGATCTCGAACCGAATCCCGAAATTCGAAGCTGGCATCGCAGACACCCTCAAAACGCTGCTGACTCTTGACCTCGAAGCTGCCTTTCCGAACGCCCTGATGCGACATGCTAAATCCTGCAGGTCAGATGAACTCCTTCCGCGGAGTCTTTGGACAGGCAGCCGGTGATGCAAAGAGTTCCAAGCCACCCTCACCCCGCTCACGTTGAGCTTATCTAGAGATCCGGCAGCACTGCTCAGCTTGTTTCATATCCCAAGCCAAGATTTGAAGTGTGCGTGGGCGTGCTCGTAATTGTGAGGTCATGTAGTGTTAAGTGCATAATACCGGTTTATCTATGGCCAGTCCCCCACGTTTGAAGAAGAAGGATTGAGGAATGGGGCAGGTTTCAGGGCTTGAGGAGGGCACCGCCAGAGTGTCGCAAGAGCTTGCAGTTCCGCAGCCGGCGGAAGATCATACCATGAGTTTGTCAGTCAGCAAAGAAGCGAGAGAGAGAGAGAGAGAGAGAGAGAGAGAGAGAGAGAGAGAGAGAGAGCGCGGGGGGGGGGGGGTGGGCGTGCTCCCTCTTGTCCGAGTGCAAGCAAGCAAGAAAGAGAGCAACAACAAAAAGTCGTTCGTTTGCACCGAGTGGTTCTCCGGTGATAGCATGCTGTACGAGTATGTAGCGAAATACGCGAAAGGTTGTCCTTTTCGTGGGCTTTTTCCAGCCGCTTTAGGTTCAGTTCACAGGACGATGCACTGCAGCCCCTAAAACCCTCCCCTGGCCCCCCACCGTACCCTACGTCTGTTGAGGCCACCTATGGCCAGAAATGGACCTGGAAGCTGGTCGATGATCGCATCCGCTCGCAGTGGGGCTGGGCACTCGGTTGAGACTGCATGCACGGACTGGGCCTAAGCCTGTAGTGTCGGCTAAAACTGTTAGGTGGGGGTTTTGAGTTAGGTATAACTATATGGTCACCCCCCCCAAGATCCACACCTGCCTCTTCCACACAATTCCACAGGTTGTTTCTCTACATTGGTCGACAACTCACATATACCGAAAACACCGTAAACACCGATACAATCGTGCTTTACCTCATGTGCATGCAAACCGTGCTGCTGCAAGGCGCGGGTTTGATATGTGTAAAAATCTGGCGCCGAATCTCGGCCACGGATTTATGGTAGTTTATGTGTTGGAGAAGCTGAAATGCTGGAGTGCGGGCTAGTTTTGTTCATGCAATACTAAAAAACCTCGTGTTTTTTGCTTTGTATGGTGTGCTATTTATCAACATTCCTCTAATAATAACAATACTATTGTCTCTCTTACGAAGACGTCTGCGTGCGTGGGCCATGTCTTTCCCGCTGCTTGTGAGGCGTCCGATTCTGATGCGGCCTAATCGCTCTAGCATTCGGCTTATGAATTACGAAATACAAAGAGCTCTTTTCATGTCTTGTCCATTATACATGAAGGAAGTCGAATGCACGGGCACGTTTATTTTTGAAGCAATACTGCAATAGTTGTTCTTTGCCTCATAAGAAATCGGAAAGCTCCCGTGGAGTTGAAAAGTTCATGTGCATATGCGCGCGCACAAGAAGGCTCGTCTGCAGCAAGAAGTAAGAGAGCTCTTGCAACCTTCCAAACATGAAGCAGGACTAATTACGATTCTTCTCCGGGGTATAGGACAGCATCAATAAGAGTTAATTGGATGAAAACTCATGTACCGTAGGAAACCGAATAGGAAGTCTCCACTGTTTCTGATGATAGCAAAATGCAAACAGTTTCCTGCAGTCTTCAATACGAAATGAAGTAAGTTCTAGATAGGCTTGCGATTATTACAGTGTTGAATTTGTAGGCGGTGCAGCTCGCCGAAGAAGGGCCAGAACCATTTTCGAGAAAGCTCAGCTCAGGTACTAGAGCCAGTGCCGCTGCCGCCATGGATCTACCAACCTCCGAAAACATACATGAAATAAACTATGTAACGACTAGGCTAGGATTGTTCATACTTATCAAACCAGAGTAATGAAAACCTTTTGCTGTTCCAGAAGACATATAAAATAGTACTTCCAGTCCCTGACAACGGTTGAAAGCACACAATTATCTTGTGATACAGTGTATCAGTATATCCTGTCTTGGACATCATAAAACACTGTTATGCTCAAAAAAATCCAAAATTTCCAACCCTGACATTCACGAAGCACTGTAATGCTCAGAAAATTCAAAAAAATTCCAAAATTCTGGCATCTACGGGCAGACCGGGGGCAAATTCCTGAAAAGTTTGGAATTTTTTGAGCATAGCAGTGTTTCGTGCGTTTCAAGGCTTGGAAAAGTTGGTTTTTTTGAGCATTAAACACTGCTATGCTCAAAAAATGTGAGCTTTGAGGCTGTGAAAAGTGGATTTTTTTGAGCATTACAGTGTTTTGTGAGTTTTAGCCCACGAAACACTGCCATGCTCAAAAAAAGTGAGCTTTGAGGCTGTGAAAAGTGGATTTTTTTGAGCATTACAGTGTTTTGTGGGTTTTTGACCACGAAGCACTGCTATGCTCAAATAAAAGTGAGCTTTGAGGCTGTGAAAAGTTGGTTTTTTTGAGCATTACAGTGTTTCAGGCTACGAAACACTGTAATGCTCAAAAAATTCCAAAGTTTCCAACCCTGAAACTCACGAAACACTGTAATGCTCAGAAATTCCAAAAATTCCAAAATTCTGGCATCTATGGCCAGGTCGAGGCAGATTCCTGAAAAGTTTGGAATTTTTTGAGCATAGCAGTGTTTCGTGCGTTTCGAGACTCGGAAAAGTAGATTTTTTTTAGCATAACAGTGTTTCGTGGTCTAAAGCTCACAAAACACTGTAATGCTCAAAAAAAATCAATTTTTCACAGCCTCAAAGCTCATTTTTTTTGAGCATAGCAGTGTTTCGTGGTTTAAAACTCATAAAACATGTAATGCAAAAAATCAACCTTTCCAAGCCTTGAAACGCACGAAACACTGCTATGCTCAAAAAATTCCAAAGTTTTAAGGGATTTGCCACCGTCCTGGCCATAGATGCCAGAATTTTTTGGGAATATTCTGAGCATTACAGTGGTTCGTGAGTTTCAAGGTTGGAAATTTTGGAGTTTTTTGAGCATAGCAGTGTTTCGTGGTTTAAACTCACAAAACACTGTAAGGCTCAAAAAAATCAATATTTCATTGCCTCAAAGCTCACGAAACACTGCTATGCTCAAAAAATTTCAAATTTTTCGGTAATTTGCGCCCGGTCTGCCCGTAGATGCCAGAATTTTGGAATTTTTGGAATTTTCTGAGCATTACAGTGTTTCGTGAGTTGCAGGGTTGGGAATTTGGGAATTTTTGAGCATTACAGTGTTTTGTGCGCCCCATGCCCCAAGACCCACGATGGCGTGGATCTTGGGGGGGGGGGGCGAGCAACTATATAGGTGTTTCAGTGTTGTCGGCTTATTGGGGTCGGGTTCCAGATTAAGTTCAGTTTTTTGGGTATGCAATGAATGTTTTCGACTCTAATTTCGGATTTGAGGCTTTAGCGTGGATGCTCCCGGGCGTTTCGGTTTAGAGTTATTTTGGGTTCAAGGCTAAATAAGATTTTCTTGGTTCCAGTTGGTAGGACCGGCTCTTTGTGTTTCAGGACCGTGAGTGCAGAGAGTGGAAGGATTCCCGCTGTCTGATTCTTGGGGGCTAGGGCCCAGCCCTGCAAGTCCTCAAGCTTCCGAGGTTTGGATTCCTGCGATGTGGCGAAGGATCCTGAGGTCTTCTACGGCGTCCCGCCTGCCTGTTTCCGCAAGCCTGCAGAAGACAGGCAAAAATGCCTGTGAAACCCACAGCAACGTTTTCCCTGAGACCCAGAAGCTGTCAAATCACATCGTACGACGGAGTCTCTGAGTGTAGCGATGAAAGCGAAGCTTCAAGTGGCAGGACCGCGGCTATTTCCGCAAGTATTATGGCGACAAGGATGTCTACGAGATTGAGTTGGCAGCTCAGATTTCGGTCAGCCTTCAGGGAGCTTTTATGGGTCAGGATCCGAGGATCTGGTTTGCAGCTTTGGCTTTAGGACTCTATAGCCGGTGACTGAAAGGCACAGGTTACATGGCAACGCCCCTCGATCAATATCGCTTGAATGCTCGCAGGCCGACCAGGAAGAAATTCAACTTCAGCTTCTTCCCCACCGGGACGGCAGATCCCTTCAACAGGACTGATTTGGCTTGCAAGCACGAAACGCTCGAAAACCCACAGGAGAGTTTTTGCCGTGGAGACTCGGGCTGATGTGGTTCTAGGTCTGACGGCAAGGGTGACAAGTACATTACATTACCTTGCAGAACTCGATCGATCGGTGCCCTCCGTGGCCCGGGAGATTGCACGGTGCAGGGTACTCCTGCAGTGAATCGAGGCTTTTGGGCACCGGATCAATGGTCTGTTTACCCAGGGAAGCCACACAGGCCAGCCGATGTGAAGGTCATTGCATAAGAGATGAAGCGAAAGCAGCACCCTACCCCGCCCCTGCATGCAGCCTCCACCCTAACAGTCTAACAGTTCTCTCAAACCCGAAACACCTGTGCTCAGGAAGGCGGCTGGCATCTCACGTTCCGACGTCATCGACGCGGTCATGCGCAGCGCAGCCACCGTCTCAGCTTCGAATAAGAGCATACACGCAAGGATGATGCAGGTTCACGTCCAGTCACGGCTCTAGAACACTGCAGGAATTGTCATACATTTCGCATTTGTCCTCGTCGTCGGTCCGTTTGCATCGTAGCTGGCAGCAGCTCAGCAACAGACGAAGAAGCAGAGAAAAAGTGGCTTGGCTTCCAGCACCCCAACAGGTCCAATTTCTTTCTGTGAGAAGCAGGAAACTCCTGGCGACGAACACAACCGACAAGTGTCAGACAGCGACAGCCGAAGTCAAGTGCAACAACTGGAAGAGTTCGCAGATGGACGTGACTGACCAGATTGAGGCTGCAGTGGACAAGGCCGCAACCGCCTAAGTCTCACGGCGGAGGACTTGGCTATGGCAGATGTATATTTGTTTTCGGGCCTTTCGGGGATGAGGTGAGATTATGACTGGGCTCATTGGTCTTTTTCTTGCAGGGCTTGCTCTGGACAGAAGAAGAATCTATGAACCATTACCCATAGAGCCGGCAAGCATTTTTTTGTATCCGAAGCCCTTACGGCCTGCCAGCTTGTCGGTTATCAACAGCAACCGAGCCCGGAGAGCCACTGTGTGGCGATGACGACACTGATGGCAGTGCTGACGCTGATGCACTGATGCTGAGGCTGCCTGCTGCAGTTGACGATCCTGATGACGGCGATGAGCAATAACACAAGGTGGCAATCGTCAGCACCAACACCATCGCCAACGTCGTGGCAGTCATCACCGTCGTAGCTATACCCGTTACCCAGCATCGTCCTCAACACCATCACCTTCATCAACACCACGGCCGCCAGCATCTCCATCGCCACCTAGTATCCTCCCCGTCGTTGCCTGCATCGACAACTTTTTGAGTAATCTGAACAGAAGCTAATTCACGGTATGCATAAGGCATGCAGTATGGTAATACAAGTGTTTGGCCAGCAGGAGGCGCGAAATTCGCAACAGTCGTCGTTGTCGCCGACTCCTGCCCACAACACGGCGGAGTGGTAGTGGTAGTGGTAACGGTCGTAGCAGCAGTCGCAATAGCGCGGGAGTTTGTCGTGGCAGCAGCAGCATCAACAGCGTTATCACCTGCAGGGCCCGTAGAAACAGCTGCAGCTGCTGTCTGTAACTTCCCGGTGACAGCTGAAGCGGTATTTCGCACGACTAGATCTGGGCGCAGAACCGAGGTCTCCTCGCTATGTGGCTTCTGACGACGGGAGTTTGTGAGTTCAGATGTTCAACATAGTAAAGAAGGCTGCCAAAAGACATGCCCTACCGTACCCGCCTTGCAAGTGCATTTTCATGGCGACAGCGCTGTCTCGTGAAGCAATTTCAATGGTATCGTGTTCCCCCCTCAAGCCAGAAAATCAGCATCGAAGAATCAAGGCGCAGCCCTTTTATCATCTCTTTGCTTCTGGGTCGACTCTTGTGGCAGCCCTCGCGGCTGCTGCGATGCCTATCACTATCGTTTTTGCATAGATCTGTGGTTTCATTCAAAGCCCTACACCTCCAGTGCTTGTTGTGCATCGTGGAAGCTGAAGGTTCCCGTTGCCTCAGACAAAGATCTATTCCTGAGCTGCCTGAGCCCTTCCCTGAACCTGAACACTCGAACGATTGCGAAAAGAAACCGCCCCACGAAGGCTGGAGGCTTAGGGTCAATTTTGAAATCAGCTGCTCTCTCCTACGTGGCGGACCCACAGCGTTGGACCTTCAAAAAGGTGTTTCTGACATGGGGCTCGGGGGTACCGGGCGGCTCATGACCGTGTTTGCTTTTGCTGTTCGCTAGGATTCTGCAGGCCATGGCCTGCGCTGGAACAGGAACCTTTCGTGTGTAACGCAGATAGCTGTCGATCAGTGGGGCTCCTTCAAGTCAAAGTCGTGCCAGCAATCCTGCATTCAGGACCTTGAGAACAAAGACGGTGCAGTCATTGCTGCAGCAGTACAAGGCCATCGCACATTTGTGCTTCGTGAGAGACGCTTCTCTGACCGTCCGTCGGACTGACTGAAAGGAGTCACGATCAAAGTCTGGCATTTTCAGTTTGCATGGAATCGAAAGCACCTGCCCTGCCTGGGGTAGGAGCGGTTTCTTGTGAGTCGTGAAGACAGCTGTGTGACAGGTGGGCAGCATTGGTGTCCTGGCTTTGGACTGTGAAGGTCTGCAGCTTCGGGCTTGTGTTGAACTCAAGAAGACACGGATAAGAGCTTCCAGGCTCTTCGGCGAGCCCTCTGAGCCTCGGAGTACTCTTCCTCGAACTCGAGCACCAGCCATCGCACTAGCATTGTTCTTGTCAGCAACAAAGCATAAATGTGTACCCGCTTTCGCATTATCGTTGCGTGCACTAGTCGCAATCGTAACACTCTTGTCGGGCTGACGTTTGCCTGCATCGAGTCTCCCCGGAGGTTTCGGGAAAGCTACAGGCCCGCTTAGTCAGACTCACGGCTCAGTTTATCCAAAACAGTCATGAGTCCTACGCCTTGGGTTTCACAGCTGCCTTTCACCTCCAGTCCAGGGGGCCTCGGCCTGGGATCAAAATCAACAACCTCGATCTGTCGGCCTGTGCATAGGACAGAGGGATCTACAGACTCTAAACATGCTTGAGCGGATTGAGCAAGCAGCGAAAGCGGGCGCCGGAGTTTTGTTAGGACTCTTTGGGAAGAGGTGCTGTTGTCCAGGTCCACGAACTTATCAGCTCAGCCCCAAACTCAGAGTCGGTCCCTTAGACACCCAGACCCAGTCTTCATGCCTTCTGTCCGAATGGCCGTATGGTATGGGACCTGTGAGAAAGATATACATACACATATGTATGTGCATATATATATATATGGTAGACCTCCCAAAAAAGCCCACGCGTTCGTGTTAATTAAAAGGAGCTTCATCTATAACGGAAAAAAGATGCAGCTCAGGGTCTGGAGTTGGGGGACTCGCGACGCGGAATACTCTGATGCTCGAATAATGTGTAATCTGCTGTTCCACTGACTGCAGAGGGTATGTTTCAATATCGCAGAAGTATCTTTCCACATTTCCACAATGGCAAGAGTAGAGAATTCCAGAATTCCAGACTTGCGGAGGCTAGCTCTTCCAGATTTCCGGTTTTCCGGAGGCTAACTCTTCCAGACTTCCAGATTTCTAGATTTCTCAATCTGGAATAATTCCAGGTTTGAAAATCTGGAATTCTGGAATCATTAGCCTTCGCAAATCTGGAATTCTGAAACTATTGACATCTTGATTTTGCGGCAGAAAATAATTCCAGAATTCCAGATTTGCACGCTAACAAACTCCAGAATTCCAATTCTTCGAGATTTCCAGAATTCCTGACTATGCAATCTGGAATTATATTCCAGATTCTACAATCAGGAATTTTGGAATGATTATCTCTTGCTTTCTAGACCAATAAATGATTCCCTGACCCCCAGTCCTATGTATTGAATTTAGGAAATCCCCTGAATTTCCCAACCCGTAGCCCTATGTACTGGATTTAGTGAATTCCCGAAATCCCTGAAATCCCTAACTCTGACCCTCACAGCCTCATGGTTAGGATTCAGGTATTCCCATTCATTGGGGAAGGAATTTCGGGAACTAATGAATGTCTTAAACCCAATATATGGGGGCAATGATCAAGGAGTTTGGTGAAGTTAAGGAATCGAGGAAGTCCCTAAAGGCAGGACATGGGGGCCTGAGATTAAGGAATGTAGGGAACTAATGCTAACCGTAATCCAAGACCGGGGGGCGGGGAGTAGGGAATTTAAGAAACTACTAAGGTCAAGTTAAATAATGCACTATAGGAATCAAATCCTGGATTCCCGATTTCCTTTATATGTTCCCTTAGGAAACAAGCTTCGGACTATTTAGAGGGCTCTTACATCATGGGCTCCTGCATTTCTTTACATAGTTAGCTCTTTTACTAAATAAATAAATTTCGGATTAAAACAGGATTTCTCCGATCCTGCACGCACTGTGTGCCTGAATTTTTTCTAGATAGAACCCTTACAACCCCGGGCTAAATGCTCATCGATTTATAAGAGAACTTCCTGGATCCAAGATTCCGGATCTCCCTCAGAAAAGTCCCGTATTCAAGAAGCTACAATTCAACTGCAGAAGTTCCAGATCTTGGGCCTTCCTGATTCTCCCTATATATATATATACACATATATACATCGTGTATCTGCAACGTATGCTGGAGGGTACTCAATTCTATAGGGTGTTCCGACTGGTAAAGAAAAGGTACACAATGGACATATAGCAGGTATTATACAAAGTCTTATTCTCCTAATCATCCCTTTGTTAATCCTTAATATCTACAAATCATGCTATAAAGCATTCTATGGTGCATTCCAACGGTATTCTATAGGATTGTCTTTAGGGTTTCTATGGGGTATACAGAGGGTATCAGACACAGGGGGTATTCTATGAAATAGTTGAAAGGGTATTGCAGATGGTTTTCTATAAGGACTATAAGGGGCGCATTGTGTAACTTATTTCTTTGGGAATTCTATAGGGTACTCCATGAGGCGTTGTATAAGGGGTTCTATAGGGAATACGCGTAAACGTAAAAGTTGTATTGTCAAAAATATTCTAAAAGGTAATCTAGAGGCTATAGGGTATTCAATAAGGTGCGTACACGGTTGTAGGGTGTTGTTTTGTAATGTATTACCTAGGCTAATCTATTTTGAAAAGTATTTGCTTTGTACAAGGATTATAAAGGATTCTGTAAGCTATTCTCTTCGAGTCCTGATTTTTTCCTAGAACTCCCTTACCCAATAAGCTGCAGTTTTATGGAAGGGAATCTCAAATCTTGCGTTTGTTAGAATTGTCCTTTTATATATCCTTATGTCGAAGGGTTACCTACAGGATATTATATAATGTAAAGGCACATACACGGCATACAGGGGCTACCATATAAAGGACCGTAGCGGGTTTCTATATGGTACTCACTAGAGTATTCCAGATGGTCTTCACTAAGGCGTACGATGTATAGAGGGGATTATGCATTCCGTTCCATTAGAAATTTCGTACGATATTTTATGTGGTATGCTGCAGAGTGTTCCATAAGTTATTGTATGAGGTATTCTATAGTGTAGATATACGGGGTAATCCTCAAAGTATGATGTAATGTATGCTAGAGGCTATAGGGTATTCAATAAGGCATTAAGGTATTCTATGTTAAGATATTCCAAACGAACGTTTCTTGGTATGTAGAGGAGCTATTCTGAAGGTTATCCTGTAAGGTGTTCTATATAGTGTATTGTATATGCTATCCTATGGGTATATGTAATATACGGCGTGCAGGGTGTATCATAAAAAGGTGGTCTTTTATAACTTTGTAAGTTACATCTTTTACAGGGTAGTCCAAATGCCGTTCAGTTAGGTGCCTATATATATATATATATATATATAGGTAAGAGTGGAAGTCTACAATGTATCCTGAAATGTATTCTAAAAGGTATTCTATTGATTATTCCACAAGTACTGTAGAAGATATTCTATAGGGTATGTATAGGGTGTAATTTATAAGGTATTCCGTTCTCTTTGCAAACCCCCTCACTAAACAAGCTTCGATGTGTTCAGGGGTTTCCTCGATCCTAGATTCTACATGTCCTGCATTTAAACCCCGGAGTTTTACACGACATGCATTCGTGCACGACTGCTTCTCGTGTTGCAAAACAACGCAAACTTGCATGAATGTTCTGTATGCATCTACCCAAGCAGGTTTTTAAACGCAGCAGTATGAGCTCTGAAAGTAACACGCAGCAGGAGAGCAGAGGTACGTCATCACATATAACACAGTGTCGCGATAAGTATAGACATAAAACTGGACCCTGTTTTTTCAACTCCGATAAGACATAAGACGCACCGAAAGTGTAGATAATGTCCATGCACACGAAATCTATCGATAGTTACAGGGTGTTCGGCCTACATCTGCAACAATACGGACACCCACACGAGCAGTTAGATGGTCGAGGTTGGTCTCGGGGGGGTTACCATACCGAGTTTTGTGAATACTGATATCGATTGCCACGGGGCTCCGCATCTAGAGTACAAGCGTTCTGCGGGTTTTAAGAAGGGGTAGCCTATATATATATATATATATACATATATATATATATACATATATATATATACACATATATATATATATATATATATATTTATTTATACATATATATATATATACATATGATATGCTGAAGTCAAAAAACTCCTGCAAGCAGCCCTACATGCCAAAGTGACCTCACTCTTCTCCCCCAGTGCCAGGTCACGACTGTTCCATTCTCCGGGGCCTCATCACGGCTTGTGGGTCTCGCCGAGAGTGGTGCCCCGCCTCCGCGACAACGATCACAGCAAGTAGGATCGGCGCCAGATTCATCATGCACCCCCCTGCGTCATCTACTTTTCGTCGTGCTCATCATCATGGGGCTTACAGTCATACTGTCAGCGTTACCCTCTTGTGCCGGTTGTGCCGTGTTCAACATGTCAGCGGCATCGGCGATGATACGTTTCAGGCCGCGTCTTCATGGTGCCAAGGCTTCCATTCCAAGACCTGTCTGCTTCTCTCCCAAGCTGGTTCATGTCGCGTCGGCTGTTTTTGTGGCTCAACACAGAAACCTGCTTGTCCTAGCGGGTGTGCAGGCGGCTCTCAGGGTGTGAAAACGATGTGGGTACCTACACCGGTCGAGAATACTTCCGTGAACCTTCAAGACGCAGAGGTTATGATGCATCCAGCTTCCAAGCCGCCGTGGGTTCTGTTGATCCTCTCGTATGATACAATTATGGGACATCCCGACTGAGCCCAAAGCTCGCGAGGTTTCTTAATGCCTTTTGATTTTCCAACAACGCCGAAGCAAATTCTTGCCTCGCTGGTTGGCGATATCCATAGTAGTGCTGATGGTTTAATTGTCTTAGTGCGTCTGCTGCGAGAAAGGCCGCCTGGGCACCCATAGCGTTCAGCTGGACTGTGAGTCGACAAGCTGATCCATCATTGTCTCTATAGCGTGATCACCATGACATCCTGAGAGGTGCCATTTCTACACGTACCAGTTGGAAGCATAATGGCGCATAGTTGCGGTGTAGGGATATGCGATACGATACCCTGCTGATGAACAACAAGGTCAGTATGCCTGGAGCTATTTCATGATGAATATAGATGGCTGTCTTGGTTCTTACAGAAATCTAAAACTCCACCTTGAAACCTCAGAGTGCTTCAGCATGGAACGGCTTTCTCTCTGTCCAGAGGCACTCGAGCATGGCAGCCGCGGTGGCGGACCCTGCAGAGTGCAGGCCAGTGTCCGTGTCTCTAATCGCCTTTGGTTCAAAGAAGTAATGTAGTGTAACGTATCAGCAAGCAGAAACTTATAGAGCTTACTTTTTCTAATTACAGAGTGTAACTTACAACCGGACTAGACTGAATCCGCCAAAGTCACCGAACCTGAAGGTCAGGCGCACGTACTTCCATGTGGAGGGCCGAACTGCCCAAACCAGGTTGCTTGGGCATCTTCTTGCCTGTGGGTGGTAAGTTAGTTAGCCGAAATAGGCATGAGCTTCCGAGTATTCTCAATGCCTCGTCTCCACACTCACCAGGTCCTCGACTTCAAAATTCACCAATTCGGCTTCACAGTAGTTCCCAACATTGTTCAGGTCTTCGACTTCAGGCATTGTGATTCTTATGGCGATCGGGACGACTGAGCTGCGACATTCGAGACATGAAGACCCTTGTGAGCGCTGTAGAACCCCGCTTGTTAAACCCCAAAAGCCCTTTGAAGCCTCGTCGTACCGTTACCCCAAGAACGCCTCGCCGCCTCATGTCTTCTCTTCAGGGAATGGCAGGAGGTCCTTCGGATTTCCGAGGAGCTCCATGCCAGCGTCAGCCCATGTCTCAGAGGAAAGAAGAACGCAGAAAGAGTAGGCCCTGCCTCACTCCTTTGGAAGTGGCATTTGTGTTGAGATTGGGAGCGAATAGCTATGGGTTTAGGGACCCAAGGCAACTTGACGGCAATCGATGGACGGGTAATGGGTTCAGACATCAGGTTGGTGATTATCGACGCGCGCTGGGATTCATGTGATATGGGGACTGTCCTAGAGTACATAGTGTTGGGTCCGGCTTGATGCCTTGTTGCTGTCCCTCCTCGCCGCCCAACACGAAACAGACTGTGGGAGCCACGCAAAAGGACAATCTTTGGCAGCATGCTATGATCATTGTGGCTTCTTGCGACCATTACCACTTATCAGCGCTGGTTGTGTTGATGTTTGTTGTTGTGGACGTTGCTGTTTAAGGCTTCATGATGAGATTAGTTCCAATGTCTGTCATCTACACCCGCAGATTCAGTAGCACCGGTGTGAGTGCAAGTCTTTCTGTTCGTGCTGTGTGTTCGCGTGACTCGGTATGTGCTGCTTGGTCTGACGATTCGTTTGATTGCTTGTTGGCTGGCTGGTTTGCTTGTATGCTGGCTTACTTGCTTCCTTGCCTGCTTGCTTTGTTTTTGCTTAATTATGATTGTAGTGCTAATTAACCAGACTGTAAGCTTCACTGCAATTCAGTTCACATCAGAACTGGGATGATCATGACACCGTGACTATACGACTACTCCGTGACTGTATCTTGTGACGGAGCACGAATTCTTGCGCGCGTTTGAACGGGTCCGTTTCATCAGAGCCTGGGAACATGGCCCCCCTACCCCTTTGGGTGTGCGACCTTGTGTACATCAGAGGCCCCTGAGGTTTTTACCTGAAGCATCACAGCGGCAATGTTAGGCCTGTTAGGCGTCAAGATCGTCACGGTCACGATAACTTACTCGTATGAGGGCTGTCCATGCTGTCATCATAACCATCATTTTCGACAGCAGTATCAGCATGGGTATCGCGCTCATCACAGTGTTCTTTTGCTTGGTCGTCGCTGTGTAGAATCGTTGGCGACTCATCCGTCTGATCCCTTCTCATCGCCAGGTAAGCTTCAAGCCAAGCTGGCCTCAGAGAGGCTCCGCACCCAAACGATGACAGATGACATGCCTTTTTGCGAGACATCTTCGGGTCCAGTGTTCAGGCCATCTCTCGCGACCACGGCGACTACCCATTGGAAAATTAGTGGTGCTACCGGTAAATTTACACGAGACAGACAGACAGAAAAGGCAAAGCCTATCCACAAGAAGATCTTCGAGTGCTGTTCAGGGCCCTCCTCGCCGCGGACCGCGCTGCAGCAGCGGCCGACCGGCGTGCCGCTGCAGCCGACCGCGCCACGGCCGAAAGGGCTGCACTTCGGGCTTTCTTGGATACAGAGCCTCCCAAGTTCCTTAAAGAAGCACCCTTGATACTTTGCAGCATGCGGCATGCTCTCAACATGACATCTCCACGGCGCAATCGGGTCGACCTGGCCCAGCATGTGTGGCGACACTCATGCGCTCGAATTTGCTCTGGGCTCTAGGAGGGTGACAGAACCTTTTCACGAACTGGGTCTGGGCAATTCAAGGGGCAGATGTGCAGAAGAGCTTTGTGACCGTTTGACTGAGCAAGGAATGGGAGAAGGGGTGGGGAGATTGTTGTTGTTTTTGTTTGTGTTTTTTTGTTGTCGTTGTCGTTGCGCCGTTGTTCCTGTTCCTGCTGCAAATGCTCGCGCTCCTGCTTGCTCTTGCTTTTGTTCTTCTTGTTGTTGCACGTAGTGACGACGTAGTGGTTACGGCTTCAAGTTGGCAATTCTTGTGGTCTGCATGCAGCCTTTGCTGGCCTATGCTGTCCCTCAGTTGGGTCCTTTTTGTTCCCTCCAAGGGCCCGGACCTCAGCTCATCGTGGAAATCTCTCATGATTTGTTGCCTTCGCCCAGGAGAAAATGTGGAGCGTTTGGCATGGAGCTCAGTGCTTCGAAGTGGAAGAACGGATTGGAGATTTTGCAGCGGCCAAGAACTCTTCTGCCTTGCCTGGCTTTGGCAGACACGTCTGCCCTCAACTTATGCAGAGACACTGTCTGTCGTTTGGTCTTGTTCCTTACGCCTGCTGGCCTCTTGGCACCTTGAACTTTGCCCATTCCAAGACCGACTCCGTCGCAGGCGTCCGTCGCTCTGCTTTGAAGGCCTCAAGCTGCCTCTTGCAAGGATGTCTGGCTCCAGCTCGGGCTTGGCGCCCTTCTCTGCTGTCTTGCGCGCAGATAGTCTCGGCTGGGCTGTGGTAGCGGCCTCGCCTTCGCTGCCGCAGCCCAATGGCTAGGCATAGGCCTTTTAAGAAACTTTCCAAACTAATCAAAAAGGGTTCTGTTTCAACTCACGTTTTTCCTTCACCAACTGACAGACTTCCTGGAGACTCGAACAGCTTCCTTTTGCAAGTGGGTGTCTTGTTCGTCCCTGCCTCGCCCGTGTGCGGTGTCCTGCCTGAGCAGCTAGAGCCGAAGCTCCGCTTTTTGTTCGGAGACTGCACACAGCAAGCTCTTCGTCCGCGCTCCTGGCTACTTGCCTTGACAACCACGGGGACTTGCACTGAAATGCTTCACTGCTCCGCGGGCTTCGGGCTTTGGCCCTGCATCATCATTCACTGCGTGAAAATGAACCGATTTTGCACAGATGGACCCAAGCCTGCCATGCTCCATGGCTATCGGATAGGTGGTCTGTCTGTCTGTCAGGCTATCCGAGTAACTGAGTCGTTGCTTTCTGCTTAACCTCAAACCATGCAAAAGGTCCTTGCAACTATGCAGTGCTTACTTAATTCCGTCCTGGAATAATAAGTAACTCAGCGCTTAGATCGTCAAGTAGGCATGCTAAAGCACAGGACAGAGCTACGAAAACACAAGGTCTGGCTTGCACCTGCGCCTCCTCACACTTACCTATAGGCACGTGTTCATCTGGTTCGCAGGCTTCACAGGGAAGCACTGACGACTGGGGGGGAAAAGTATTGATCGCTTGCTACATATATTGGATAGAGACGCCTTGTAACATTGGGGAGGAGGTTACTCATCGGATTCATAAATGCAGCCTTGACATGCAAAACACGGTACAGCCTCAACGACACTAAGGTCCATGTGATCTCCTCCACTGTGGAACGGTGGTATCCAGCAGGCCTGTCTCTTGCATGCCCGACCCCAGGTCGGGCTACCGGCTACCAGGACAAGGATTAAGATTTTCAGATTGCAGCATCCGGGTGTCACTTGTCGGGTACAATCCTCGTGCCGCAACCAGGCGGCCTCCGACGGCCCACATCTTTTCATCCAGAGGGCGTGAGAGGATCAGATCCCTGCTATCAGCCATGAAGCCTCTTGCACAGTCTTGACAGCCTGGAGCCTCTACATGAATGACTGAATGATCTCCGTTGCAGTCCCACACTGGCGTTGCTCTAGCCCCGTATCTGTTCCGAAGTACCAATAATTTCAGCAGGGTGCTCCACGGGAGCTTAAAAGGGAACTTAGAGCAGCCGAAATCGCCATTCAGGTGCAGTGACCGAAAAAGCCATGCCTGAAGCCCTTTTCGAGGCGAGAGGGCGTTATGTTCGGGGGTTCGAGTGCATATTAATGCACGAGATAGACGGTCATAGTTGTTTACGAGCTTGACGGCATTGACTGCTGACTTGTCAGAGTTGTTGTGTTGTTCTTCTTGTTGGTGCTGTTACCGCTGCTGTTGCTGTTGCGGGTGTTGCCGCCGGCTCTCCATAATCGTCTCAAAGAAAAGATTTCAATCCTAATGCCGCTGGTAGAATCGGAGGCTTGCATCATGAGAATATACTCTTTGGGGCATCGTATGGACATAAGTGTTTACAAGGAACATGAACACTTATTGCCAGTTATCGCAGCACCGTTGTTCATTCCTGCAGGTTTCAA